CCTCTGCCGCAACGGCCCTGGGCTCCCCCCTATCCTACCCCCTCAACCTGAACCTCATGCAAAATCACTCGACCATCAATCCATCGACTCCCCATCACCACCATCAGCAACATCAGAATCATCACCATCACCATCACCATCATCATCACCCATCGCACCAACAGCAGCACTCGCGACAAAATAACTCCTATTCTGTGCAACAGAATCCTGGCACGCCGGGGACCGCGCAGACTCCCTCACCCTCGTCCCCCGCGCCTGTACATAGTCTCTAAGCGGTTACGAGCGCACTCGCGTCCAACAACCGGTCACAATCCACCGCATGTCCGTCCGCCGCGCTCATACACGCAGGCACGAATGATACATACACGTAGACACGAGAGCATACACGGAGATACACACGAATCTGGCTCCCCGTCCTGGTTCTCAATATACGGAGATGGTCCTCGTAACGCACGCACGCGGATATTTCAGGATTTTTTATTTGTACATAATATATATATATTTATATATATAGGGCGCGAAAGAGAGGGAGAGAAAGAGAAATGATATTATATTAATTAAGCGGTGTAATGATGTGTAAAAAAAAAAGTAACTCGTATAAATATATAAATATATATATATATATAAAAAGCACTGTCGCGTTGTACCATACACCGACAAAACACTTCGCGCCCTACCCGACTCTTCTCTTCCGTTCATTTTCGGAAGGCAAGAGACGGATCGAATTAAAGAGAAACGACTGTGGAGTATGGACACGGACAGGTTCCAAACGATTTCATACCACACAGGGCCTTGAACATTGTCTGACGAGAAAGTGATTTTCCTTAGTGAATTTAAAATTTTTTCCAGACAATTTGTTGATTACGTTTGGAACTTGGACTTGAACGATAACCCATATCAGCCCACCCTTTGGATGTAGTATCGCACTATTATCAATGAATTATTATTAATTATTATTAATTATTAATTATTAATTATTACTATTAACTCTTCTTTATTACTGTATTATTATAAAAATTATAAATTCATTTTAAAGTGAGAAAAAGGAAATAAATAATGCTTTTGTGAATAATGAAGACTCTATTCGACTTTCACTCCATTCACAAAGCTCGTTCCCGCCGCCCAATTGTCGACTTCCTTGTTGTTAATCTATGAAAAGACAGTCCACACACTAGTTTCGAACTCCTAGCTCGACCTTCGCTCTTGCTGCCGCTGATTATTAAGGTGCAACCCGTGCGCGAGTCAACCTGGAATAATTTATCTTCCTCGCCTGCTAAAACGTGATTCCTACACACGAATTGAAAGTAAGTTCATTCACAATTGCTTTGAGTACAACGTCGCGTGTCCGCCAATAATGATTTTTAATTTTGACACATAGATCTAAATATTCGCGATGAAGAGTCGTGTAACCTGACACTAGGGAATACCCCCAATGTATCAACAGGCCGACAGAGAACGACACTGAGCAGAGAATACGACGGAGCACGAGCGGAACACGAGCTCCTGGGACGATATTATCGCACGGGCCGTTAAATCCCAGATCCTACCAACCGTGAAATGTCCCGTCATAACATAAGGCCTCCCCCACTTTGTCATGCCACTTTATTTTCCCGCTCCAAGATTTTATTCCGACCTTCGCTCCGTTCAGAGATTCGCTGATTATGCGGCATCGGGCATCGTTCTGGCATCGCCTCGCGAGCGCAACGGAAATGCGTCCGATACGTGTGCTTCGAGCTCCTCAATCTTATTAGCGAGAATGACTCGGCTCGCTTCTCTCGGGCCTAAACAGTGGAGTAGCCGCGTCACGCGATCATTAAGCTTCTATAAAGTTGATTCTCCCGAGCATTCTGGCCGGTCATAATTGATTACAACATGCGCAATATTCTTCAAACAATGACAGTAGAAGCAATAATTCGTGTCACGAGACAATTGCATGTTTTTAAACATATAGATACGTTGCCGTTAACATATTAATGAAGCAATTATAGAAAAAATAATCTATCACTCTTAAAGATGTGTTGTTAGAATAAAGTATCTATATAAAGGCGCCGTAAAAAATTAGTACAAAAACGCTAAACTTGTAATTTAAAGACGAAATTATGTGTTTCATCGAATATCGCGGTGCCGCGAAGTTTAGATTCGACATGTCCTGACGGAGACACCGTAATAAACAATTTTCAAGCGCGGCGCCATAAACTGGATCAATATGGCAGAGATTACGAAATAAGATCGTTATGCAAAGCAGTCGGAGAGGGTCGCATCGGGATTGCGCCGCAGCAATTCGCGGGGGGTGCGGTTAACGTCTCGCGGCAAGCGTGCAAGCTCGGGGGATGGCTTTTTCGGTGATTTAACCAAGGAGGGTGAACGTTTGTTATTCAATTTGCAACCCCCTCGGTACCAGCCACTGCTCACCCTCTACCCACAGATCATCGCGCCTTTACGACCATGGCCGTACGCTCCTAATGCAGGAAGCATTCTTCCTCGCTCGAAATATAGCGATCGGTGGGTATCCTACTTCGTTTTAACTCTTCCGCACTTACGTAACTGCTTTATCTTTTATTCTATTATTTGTTTCACGGAAGCTGACAACGATCGTACGTACATCTGCTGCAATATACTGAATCTATGCTGTACTCAGAATCACTATGCAGTTATAATTCTACAGATATAATTCATTAAAATACATATTGTTGCTGTAAACTTTATAAATAAATTAAAAAAGATTTGAAAAAAATAATTTGTTTCATATCATTACCATAATCTTTTATTTCCCTTGAAGTATTACATCTATATTTTTAAACTAATGATTCCATCTAACATCAACTTTCGATACTAAAAAAATTAATCCAATTAAATACGAGAAATCCTTTTTTTCAGTCAAAGCAAACCTTAGTGTTTAAGGACGTTTTGTCAATACAATATCAGCTAAAAGTATCAAATAATTAGTCAAAAATAGCTAATATTAGCCAATATCATTCAAATTTTGACGATGATTAGTCCGCGTAAAGCCAACAAAAAAAATCAATTTAGCTTATAATGATTTTATGTAGAAAAATGATCATATTTTCCTGCAGTTTTAGGTCAATAATTTTTAAATGATTAAATGGAACTGGATAAACTTTTGCACGAATATTTATAATATTATTATTTTAATAATACATAGTATATAAAATTTGATTTAATTCTTAATATTACTTCCTCATCAAATCATAATTTTACATAAAACTTAAGAGAAAAATATTAAATAACTTTTAAACTAATAATAAAAGAATTTTGCTTAAATTTTACATAAATACTCAGCTATAATAATAGAACAATCTATAAAATTTTTAATAAATTCCTCATATTAAAAAAATAGGTACTAAATAAAATCATTGTAAATTAAAATCTTTATAATTTTAGATATCGCTTCAGTAAATCAACTCTGGGTTTTGTCACAAGTCTCCAAACATATGTAAGAACAGTCAGTAAAATTATTGTTAAACTTCTAATATTTAAAAAATAGGTATTAAACATTCTTAAATATTTCTGTGTGAAGTCATATAAATATCTGATTCTGTAAACTGCGCGCCGATATCTTTTTCGCTCTTGAAACACAGTCATGAACAGAACCATAGTAGTAATAACACACGTTAAATTGACAAGCAATTTAATAATTTTTTATACTAATAAACATATTCTTTATAAAAATATTAATAATTTGATGTCAATAAGATCTTAAAATTGCGAATAATTTAAGCACAAATAAGAGAATGCCATTTTCATTATAATCGAAAATGGCATTCTTTTCTATTTATTTTTAAACATTTCTCAAGTCAATTTTCTTAATACTTAATACTTTAATAATTTATCATCATAAATGTTTGTACAAATTACGATTCGAGATACGAATAAAATGATATTCAATTGACGGTGTCAATGTATAGTTTTATCATTATATAATTTTTCGTAATTCACGTTCGGATTTACGTGTGCTGTATACGCGCACCAATAAATTAAAGGGAACGATTTTCTTCGGGAGGTATACACTCGTCTGTCCAGCAGCTTGCGAGTGAATAATTAGGCGCGTGCGAGTGTCACGTCCGCGAGACCGTTCTCAAGGCTCGGGTCATTAGATCCGTCTGTTCTTTCGAACGTGTTGCGATAATAAAGGTCGCGCACCGTCACCAGACAAAGACACCGCTGTGCGATTAATTTCACGGCGGTGCACCCCATCGCGATACAATTGAAACGAATGGAGCTGCGGGAGCATTTTATGAAGCCGGCGGAACGACACTTTGCTCGCAAACACCGTTTCGCGCGGATCGCGTTCATCACGATCTATAAATGGATTACAAATGGCAGAGATGTAGTACAACCGGGAGAAATAAATTAAACTACGCGTTGCATGTATTTTAATAACATAAAAGGAATTTTAGAACTATGATAAGAAATTTTATTAATATAAAAATACGATTATGAATATGAAAAACGGTAGATAAGTGAAACAATTTTGCTTTGACTTCACTCTGTATTTAAAAATTCAGTAATAAATCTCTGAAGTCAATCGAGTCCTTCGAATGAGACAAACTAGCGAATGACGGAGAGCAAAATATTAAGTGGAGAGATGACGGAAAACTGAATGGTACTCTTTGAAATTTCACACCGTGATGTCGGCAAGGCTTAGTAAAAAAAATGGACAAAGGAGCCCGAAAGGTTCGTCGTTTCTCGCCCCTACTAGGTCTGTTAACAAATCTCATGATCCTAACGACTCGACTTTGGACAGGGATACCACGGTTAAAATTTCAAAAGCAAAACCGCCTCCTCGAACTCACCGCAGACTATAATTTCTACTAGCAGAGAAAAGCAAGAAGCATCTTCTGCGCGGTAAAAAAAAAGACTAACGTACAGCTAATACATGATTCACGATAAGAATTCGTGATATTTATTATTTCTTTTTAAAGCTTTATAATAGTACACATTTCGAAATTATTTTGATTATTACATCAAACAATATACTTTATCTAGATTTGCCGCAATATTATTCGTGAGATTTGTTAGGCGTGAATGAGAGGCGAGCGTAATCAATCTGCTAAATGGATGAACAGATTAATACGCTAATCCGAATCGGTTGTAAAGTCAAGGGAAGACTACAGAGAGAGAACTAACGAGGCTATGGTTAGACCTACGGTTTATGGACATATGGTTCACACAGTTATATGTAGTTTGCTGGAAAAGCCAAGAGACACATGCGTGAGGCCTAGTACGCACTTCAAAGGCGGGCCCAGACGCGCACGACGCACACGTGCTGGCATTAAGAGATGCACGCGAGTCCTGTTACCAAAGTGCCGCGAACTCGAAAAACCCGCGGCACGATCGGAAAGTTGGTGTCTGAAAAATCAACCCGAACTTGAACAGAGAGTCCTTTTAATTTAAAAACCGCCGATTTTACTAACAACACGTACTGTGGCAAGAGAGAGAATGTGATTTATTATCACGTATTTTAAAAATTGGAAGAATTTTCTACGCCCGCGTGCGTATATAATTGTGTTAAAATATCCTTAAATCATTAATGTTATATTTCCGAAAATTTTTGCATTTTGATATACTTTCCTACAAAGTATAAAACTATTAATTCAATTATTTATTCAACCAGTTTTGTATCTCTTGCGAATGAAGTAGCGATATCTCGGAAAATCAGACAAATAACGTCATCCGACACGAGCGATCAATGCGCTCTCGTGTTCGACATTGTCGAACAGTCGAGTCTAATGGGCAAACAACACCGAACATTCTGACGCTGTCATAACGAGCGTTGGCCAGCCATCGCATCGCGACGCGCCGCATGGAATAGAACAGACCGAGGCAATCCTGTAACGCAAGGCTGATAACATTACCGTCCGATTCGAGTTAATTGCTCGTCGTTAGAGGTCATTAAAGTATCCGGTTGGTTCACGCGACACTCATCGAGGGGCCTCGGGGACACCGTGATATTCCTCTGAGCCGGCTAACGAATCACATCGCTCCCGCAATCACCTCGTTACGCAAGCTTACCCTAATTGAAGCGAACAGTCGGAGCTAATTATCGATCGCTGCCAATTTCAATATCAATTCGTTATTCATTCGAGATCGACGCACCCAGCCAATATATATGACGCGTTTCTGCATCACGATTATGATGCCGGTTGCTTTTAATCACATCGAGGTGGATTTAAGAGTCGGCAACTGCGTGTAATTAAGCGTCCCGAACGAGCGAGAGGTGCTTATATTGCATTTGTCGACATTTGCTATTCATTAACACGTTATAGTTATATAAAAAAAAAAGAACGATAGGATGAAAAGTACCTGCTGCTAACCAATCGAGCTTCGCAATTATAATAACTTCGTCTCGATAAGATATGCATCATTTCTACCAAAGGAATTGCAATTTAATTTATCAATATTCCTACGTGCTTACATTTTAACGAGAGAAAAAGAAGCTTCAAATCATGATAATTCAAAAGCGAACCGTCGACCTCATACAAGGGTTCACGAAAGAGCGGCACGGTAGCTAGCGGTTCGTAGCTATCGACCGATAATTTCATGGCACATCGAGTAGGTATGTCGAGAATGGATGGAAATTAGTTGAGATGGCCGTCGAGTTCCCGAGTTAATTGATACGTCCGCGCCCGATGAGGCGGCGGAATACATACAGCGCCAATCCGGCGCACACATTCCGTCCCGTATATACGTATACATAATGTACGCGCAACCACATTGCATTCCGGGTTTGTCCAAGTCCCGCGTGATTTAACGGCTTCGCTTCCTGGCGATCTAGTTAACGTGTACGCACACGCGTGCACCACGAACGAGTATTAGTGCAGTTTGCAGGGTGACGGAGTACGCGTGAAAGACTCGTCTCTCTACCTCTTTCTTTCTGTACTTCTCTCTCTCTCTCTCTCACTCTCTCACTCTCTTTCTCTCTCGGAACCCCACGGGCCATCGCACAGTGACTAATACCCTTCCGACCGTATTTTTATCTTGCCACGAGCGAGTGGTTGCCCCTCGACAGCAAGAAATCCACCATGACAACGAATGTGCCAAATAGATGGCAACATCTAGAGGGAACGCGCAGCTATCTTCGACTGCGTGTTCGTGAACGGATAGCTTTTTTAGGATCGGGTTAATGATGCCGATTACGAAGAAATTTAATATTAATCTTTGTAATCTTTTAATATGTGATGGCGAGAGAGAGAGAGAGAGAGAGAGAGAGAGAAGGAAAAAGAAGAAAAAGAAGGGAGGGAGTGAATATTGATATCTTCATTATACTCGCATATACATATATATGTATATATATGTCAAATGAAGATATTTTACTTCGCTCGTAAATAATTGAATAATTTTATATTGAACAAGATATTTAACCGGTTTTATTAAAGATATCACGAAATGGAGACGGAATCCATTATGAATCATGCTAATTGCCGGTGTGATTAAACGTTTCATTCTCGGAATTTTAACCCTCGCGTTTTATACTACCCTTGCCTCGTTTCTTCATCGTTGCAAAGCTGAACGCTTAAAAAATGTATGAACTAGCCATGGTATAAACGATACCTCCAAGCAACGTTCACCAAGTTGCCTTTCTACAATTCGTTGAGTCGTTGTTATCGACTTTTTCC